GGTCAGTTACCCATATTCTCCTCCATCTGTCCTGGGGTATACTCCCTTAGACCTCCAGGGGCCTCATCATCAGGAGCACTCCCTGTACTGGCCTTGAAACCTGTTCACACCTAAACTCTTTTCTCCGTGTCCCTGTGTGTCCTAACAGAGTCCTTCGCTCAGGATAAACGTCGTTCAATCCCTACTTGCGGCTCGCAGTTCCTGGTTCCCAGAAATGGCGCTTTCAGCCTGGAAGGGGAGGGGGTTCTGGGCCCTCCCTCACTCCAGGTCCTGACCCAGGACCCTAAGGACAGGGAGCACTCCCGGTCCGGTTGGTGGGGACACACCCGTAATTCACCAACCCACGGGCTTCTGGACGCCCCATCCTGGGCCGCTTCCTCCTCTCTGTCCTGCTCTGTCTCCTCCACTCAGGTCGTCCGTGCCCCCTTTCTGCATCCAGCACTGACCTTTTGAAGGGCTTGTGCCCTGTTGCTCCTCCCCCTCCTACGCCCACGCCGGCGTAGATGCCCGGAAATGGCGCGCCCCAGCTGGTGCCCCCATGCATGCGCTCTGAGCGGTGCCTGGGCAAACCTCCTTATACACCTGCACTGGTGTAGGCACCCAGAAATGGCGCTCACCATTTGGTGCCTCCATGCATGCGCTCAGAGCGGCATTTGAGCAAACCCCGCACTGCTGCCACGGGGCCGTCTTTTGGCCGCAGAGCGCTTCTGCGACGTCTCGGAGAGTGCGGGAGTCGGTGGGCTCCAGAGGTGGAGAGCCTGACGCTCCGTCACAATGAGCATTATATTTGCCCTTTTTCACTCTTCTGGAATCTCTCTCATCTTCTATGACTTTTCAAAGATAATGCTAATGTCTCAGATATCTCCTCAGTCAGGTCCTATCTTCCAGCTCTGGTGATTTGAAGACATCTAATTTAAGTAATTTTAAATTTGTTCTTTTCCTATTTTTGTCTCTAATCCCATCTCATTTTCACTGGGATTCACTATGTTAGCTATCCAATCACCACCACACATCTTCGGGTATGTCTACACTGCACGGCTATTTTGGGATACCTCCAGTATTCCGAAATAGCTACCCTGCATCTACACAAGCCATCTGTTATTTCAAAATATTTTTCAAAATAACGGCTGTGCTATTTCACCATCCCAGTAAACCTTGTTGCACGAGTGATAAGGGATGGCTCATTATAGCACATTATTTCAAAATTTGTACTGTGTAGATGCACCAAATTTCAAAATTAGCTATTTTGAAATGGATTTGAAATAAGATATACAATTTGCATAGCTCAAACTGTGTATCTTATTTTGAGTATAGGGTGCTGTGTATACTCACCCTTGGTGAAAGCCAAAACAAAGAAGTCATTAAGCACCTTTTCCATTCCCACATTTTCTGTTGTTGTTTCCCCCATTCCCTCAATTGAATAATGGTCATACCCTATGATTGGTTTTCCTCTTGCTTCTAATATATTTGTAGAATATTTTCTTGTTACCCTTTATTTCTCTTATTAATTTGAACTCATTTGTGCCTTGGCCTTTCTAATTTTCCCCCTACATTCTTATGTTATTTGTTTATATTCATCCTTTGTAATTTGATTTCTTTGCACTTTTTGTAGGACTTTTTAAAAATTATTTTTAGATCATTTCAGAGCTCCTGGTTAAGCCAGAGTGGTCTCTTGTCATCCTTCCTATCTTTTATAAGAACATAAGAATGGCCGTACTGTGTCAGACCAAAAGTACATCTAGCCCAGTATGCTGTCTGCCAACAGTGGTCAATACCAGATGCTCCAGAGGGAAGGAACATAGCAGGTAATCATCTTGTGATCCCTCTCTTGTCATCCATTTCCAGACAAACAGAGGCTAGGGACGCTATTCCTACCCATCCTGGCTAATAGCCATAGATGGACCTAACCTCCATGAATCTATCTAGCTCTTTTTTGAACCCTGTTAAAGTCCTAGTTTTCACAACATCCTCTGGCAAAGAGTTCCAGAGGTTGACTGTGTGCTGAGTGAAGAAAAACTTTCTTTTGTTTGTTTTAAACCTGCTGCCTATTAATTTCATTTGGTGACCCCTAGTTCTTATATTGTGGGATTAAGTAAATAAATTTTCCTTATTCACTTTTTCTGTACCAGTCATGATTTTATAGACATCTATCATAAACCCCCTTAGTCTCCTCAGGTAATGTCTACACTACAAAGTTGATTCGAAGTAACAGCCATTAGTTCAAATTAACTTTCATAGGCGCTACACATGCAAACTGCTAGTTCGAACTTAATTCGAACTAGTGGAGTGCTTAATTCGAACTAGGTAAACCTCATTGTACAAGGACTAACGCCTAGTTCGAATTAAGGGCTGTGTAGCCATTTAATTCGAAATAGTTGGAGGCTAGCCCTTCCCAGCTTGCCCTGGTGGCCACTCTGGGCCAAGCCAGGGAAACTCTTCTGCCCCCCTCCCGGCCCCGGAGCCCTTAAAGGGCCACGGTCTGGCTACGGTGCCCGGGCCAGGTGCAAGCCTGCCAGCAGCCAGCCAGCAGACCCTGCACCTGGCACGGCATGAGCCAGCCACCCGCTGCCATCCAGCCCTCCGCCTCTTCCCAGGACCAGGCTGACGGCTCCTAGGAGCCTGCCCGGGGCTGCAAGAGGCGGGCGCCCGCCTGGTCTAGTGCGGAGATCGTGGACTTCATCCAGGTTTGTGGGGGAGGCCTCCAACGTCCACAATCTCCTCACTAGGCACAGGAAAGTGGCCGTCTATGGCAGGATAGCTGCCAGCCTGGCCACCAAAGGCCACATGCGAACCCAAGAGCAGGTTTGCATGAAAATCAAGTTGGTCCAGTGAGACCCCCAACCCTGAGCCTTGAGCTTAGAACATAAGAACATAATAACAGCCGTACTGGGTCAGACCAAAGGTCCATCTAGCCCAGTAGCCTGTCTGCCGACAGCCGCCAACCCCAGGGACCCTGGAGGGGATGGACCGAAGACAATGACCAAGCATATTCCAACAACAAAATATTCCAACAACAAAAAGCTAAAGCTACTTTGGCCTGTTTGAGATAGCAGTGGTTCTGGGATCTACTGCAACTATTATAAGAAGCTTATCTCTCCCTGAAATTCCAACCAGCGCCATCCTTACAAATCATGGTGCCCTACGCAGGCCAAGCGCCTGCACAACCTCCTCTTTGCAAAGGAGTACTCTGAAAGGGAGCCTGCTGCTCCACAGAGGGAGGGGGACTGTTGTTCAGAGCTGCAGGGGCAAGAGCTGTGGAGGGCTAGGGCCTGGGCAGTGGAGGGCAGGAGATGAGTAATACACAACTGCATAGGGCAGCAAGAAATTTTGGGCAATGGGGCAATATTCTACATATGCCTACGGAAGGCTCTGCTTCTAGTCTATGTCCCCAGCAGAGAGGTCCAATTGCCATCCAGATTTGGAAGAACAGTATATTGACAGATCTAAAGTAGCTTCATTCTGGGGAAAATGTACAGGGATTCTGTTAAACTCCACGAAACACCAACTTTCATGGTAATAATTGGAAAAGGTTCTCTTTGTGGGCAACTAACAATAAACCTAGGTTCAGTTTCTATTCAATTCATACAGGAGTATCTCATTAATCTGAAATGCTTAGGACTCTCCATATCATTGGTAAAATTACATCTTGAAGCCTTGTCAGATCATCATAGCTTATATGAACAATATATTGTATTTAATCATGATATATTAAAAAGATTCTGAAGGGTTTAATGAACATTTATCACATTCATCAATCCATAAACTTGACAATATTTTTTCCAAGTCTACATTCTCACCTAGAGAAAGCTAAACTCCATACCTTAAATGCTAACAGAGCATTAGCCTACTCTATGAATGGAAGAAAATTGCCTTGACTTTTTTCTTTTATG